AGAGATAGAATGAAGCAGAATGATGAAAAAGGGGTCCCTATGTCCTCCAGCAGTCTAAGCCTATAGCAGCTATAACCAGAAGGCAAGACCTGTGTATCCTGGCTGAAGTACATCCAGATCTTTGAATCTGGTTGGTCCAAAACAAGATATTTGAAATCTGGGCCCTGAGGAAGGCAGCAGGAGGTTGTAGGTTCAGACGCCTTATTTAGTGTGTAACAGATTACTGAAGGGAGGTCTCCTCACATTTCAGTGAATTCTATTGGTGTAACGGCTACTATGAGAAAAAGCAGAGAGAGCAGAACGTTAGAGATTGAATTCTGCAGAGTGGGAGAATAGAGACAGAATGAAGCAGAATGATGAAAAAAGGTTCCCTATGTCCTCCAGCAGTCTAAGCCTATAGCAGCATATTTGGGAACAATGAACCAAAAGTCACGCAAGAACAGAGCCCTGAGGAACCACGCTTGATCTCCGCACAGAGCTGAAATCAAACCTTCTCCAGTCTGCCGATCAAACACAAAGGAAAGTCTCTGGATTTGTCTGACGTATCGCTGTTGTGTGTAGCTGGAGCATCCATCCGGTCTGCTCACCAGTCTGTGTCTCTGTCCTCCAGGTTGGGGCAGTCAGAGCTCCAAGGTGCAGATCCATCACAACACCTGGCTTCATTTTCCGGGTCACAACATGAGGTGGATCCTCACCTTCCTGCTGCTCTTCGTCCACGTGTGCGAGTTCGCCGAGGGAATCGTCTCCAACACGTCAGTGTGCGGCAGGACTTCCTGCGCCAGAACCCTTCCTGACGCCGATGTTTGCAGCTGCTAGACGCTGATGCTGTTTGTTTCTGTAGGATGATGAGCACCAACCACCTCCACCTCTTCATGCCGGCCTTCATGGGTTTCATCGCAGCCACGACGTCCGTGGTTTACTACCACAACATCGAGACGTCCAACTTCCCCAAGCTGCTGCTGGGTAAGGCCCCAAGGTAAGACCCACTGAAGCTGAAGCTGATCTGCTAACGCTCCACCTTCTGCCTCTGCCCTCAGTCCTCTTCATCTACTGGGTCTTGGCGTTCATAACCAAGTCCATAAAGCTGTGGAAGTTTGCAGAGTTTGGGATCAGGTTCAAGCACCTGAGGTTCTGCATCACGGCGCTGTTGGTGGTTCTGTACGGACTCCTGATGGCCGTGGAGATCAATGTCATCAGAGTCAGGGTTGGTGGCCTCATCTCCTCCTGCTTCACCTCCATGATCCGGTTCACTAATTCAGCTCTGGTTGTCTTTTCTTTTTTGGTAGAAATACATGTTTTTCACCAACCCCCAGAAGGTGAAGCCCCCGGAGGACCTGCAGGACCTGGGGGTCCGCTTCCTGCAGCCGTTTGTCAACCTGCTCTCTAAGGTGCTTCTCTGATTCCCTCCTTCCATCCTGAACCCTGCGGTTCTTCCTGACTGTTGCCGTTCTGGATCCTTTTCTTGGTCTGTTTCTGTTTCCAGGCGACGTATTGGTGGATGAACCCGCTCATCATCGGGGCCCATAAGAGGCCCATTGAGCTGAAGAAGATCGGCAAGCTGCCCATCGCCATGAGAGCCCTGACCAACTACCTGAGGCTCAAAGACGCCTATGAGGATCAGAGGGTGAGCAGAGCCGCGCTCCAGACGCCGATTCGTTCTTTTTCTGCTACATTAAAGGAAGAGGAATAATCAATGG